CCCGCCCAGCCCACCCTCCGCCTCTGCCCAGTAACAGGCATTTGGGCAGTTCTGCAGTAGCGTGTCTTTTCTTTCCAGAAGCCGAGCAGACGGCGGAGGAGCTTCAGGAAGAGATTGACAAGGTACAGCGTGCCCTGAGGGCTCAGGAAGGGGGTGCTGATCACTTAGGGCCTGGGTGCGGGCTGCTGCCTCCGCCTGATCTGCTTCTCTCTCCGAGGGATTAGACTAAGGTGCTCCGGTGCCTGAGGCTTCGCTAATCCCTCCCTGACCTCCCAGTACTGAGAGCTGTCTGGCTCCTCTGACTCACCCCGCTGGGAGCTGGGGAGAAGAGGGGCCCTGGTACCCACACCACATGGCTGGCCAGCCCTTTGGCTCAGTGCGCCCATTGTTTGCTCATCTGGTGGGCTCTGGGGAGCAGTCTCAGTGTTCTTCAAAGTGACCCCTTAGGCACCTCCGTGCCTTGGCCACCTATCCTTCCATCCCGTAGTCCGGTCCACTGCTCCAAGCCTCTGGACCCTAGTGGGTGCTGTGACCACGGCTATAGGTCATCGTTGCTCGTGTGCTGTCACAGGAGGATCTGTACCTGAACCAGGCTGCGATGGGGGAGGTGGGGGCGGGTAGCTGTCCCTGTAGCTCCTGCTGTGTTCTGGGCATTGCTGGGCAAGGGCAATGGCCACCGTTACTCAGAGGCGGCCTTTTTGCCACCGTCATCCTTCACGGCGTACTTCGTTATTCTCTGTGCCCGAGATGACAAGGGAATGCAGGGCTGGGGTGCCAAGTTCTGGGGGCGGCGGTGTCGGTCCTGAGCCCTCCAGCAGCCTCACTGGCCAGAGCTGCAGTGCTCGGGCCTGGCAGCCGCAACACCCCCACCACCAAGAGGGACTTGCCAAGTTGCAGCAGCTGACGGTAGCCGGGGAGCATCGGCTAGAGGGGCGTTTCCAAGGTCTCCGGCCCCGTCAAGGGCAGCGTGAAGCAAGGAGCCCGTGGTCACGTCGTGCCTCACCCCCTTTCCCGCAGGCAAACGTGGTGTGTGTGGTGTATGACGTGTCTGAGGAGGCTACCATCGAGAAGGTGAGGGGATAGAGCTCCTGATCCACCCCGGTCCTTGCTGCTGGCACCCACCTCCATGCTGCCCTCCATACAGACTTCAGGGGCACACCTTGCTGACCCAGGCTCTGGGCGACTTGTACTTGTGTCTGGCCCCATCTCTGACCAGTGCTTCAGGAAACCTCGCGGAGCTTCCCCGGGGAGCTCCTGTGGCCCTGTCTCCCCACAGGGCCCGTGGGTGGTCAGAAGTCTGTGGAATGGGGTGCCGTGGGCTGCTGATCCGGGTCCCTTGGGTGTGTTTGCTAGGATCGCATGAGGTGCCACTTGCTGTCCTCTCCAAGAGGGCACATTCCCGGCATCTGTGACTTTGTCCCTCAGTGGGCCTCGACCTCCCCCTTCTAGGCGTGAGTTCCACGTGGGAGCCGTGGGGCAGGCAGGCCCCTCTCCTCACGGCTAGGCCTTGCTTTTCAGATCCGCACCAAATGGATCCCGCTGGTGAACGGGGGTACCGAGAGGGGCCCCAGGTAACGGGCAGGGCCCAGGGGGGTGGGCCCCGCCAGCTCCCCCACCCACGGTGACCATGGGTCTCTCTCCCCAGAGTCCCCATCATCCTGGTGGGCAACAAGTCAGATCTGCGGGCGGGCAGCTCGATGGAGGCCGTGCTGCCCATCATGAGCCAGTTCCCTGAGATCGAGACCTGCGTGGAGGTGAGTGGCGGGTGAGACCGGGAACCCAGCAGCAAGGCCCTGCGGCCTGCGCCCCTGTGCCAGCATCTTCCTCGGGGGCCCTTCGAGTCCTCTGATATTGGGCACGTTTCTGAGTCTGTCTCCGTGGTCGCCAGTGCTCTGCCAAGAACCTGAGAAACATCTCGGAGTTGTTCTACTACGCACAGAAGGCTGTGCTACACCCCACGGCCCCGCTCTACGACCCTGAGGCCAAGCAGGTGGGCGACAGGCAGGGTGAGGAGGTGAAGCTGACCGGCGGGGGGCGGGGGCGGTGGGGTACGTGCTGAGCCGGCTGTCCCTGCAGCTGAGGCCCGCGTGTGTCCAGGCCCTCACGCGCATCTTCAGGCTCTCAGACCAGGACCTAGATCAGGCGCTCAGTGACGAGGAACTCAACGCGTTCCAGGTGCGGCCCCCTCTGCTGCTGGTGCCCACCCCTCGAGGGCTCAGCTGCGCTCCGTGCCTCGGGTGCCCTTAGTGACGCTGAGCAGTCGCTGAGGCGGCTGGCCGGCTGATGGCGACTTTCCCTCGGGGGCAGAAATCCTGCTTCGGGCACCCCCTGGCCCCCCAGGCCCTGGAGGACGTGAAGACGGTGGTGTGCAAGAACGTGGCGGGAGGTGTGCGGGAGGACCGGCTGACCCTGGACGGTGAGTCCTGACGCCCTGCCCGTCCCTTGGGAGCAGGGAGGGGTCAGGCCGTGCCCAGCGTCACTCGCCCTTCTGCCCCTTTCGGGACAGGCTTCCTTTTTCTGAACACGCTGTTCATCCAGCGTGGCCGCCACGAGACCACGTGGACCATCCTGCGGCGCTTTGGCTACGGCGACACACTGGAGCTGACCCTGGACTACCTTGCTCCGCCGTGAGTGCTGGGCGGGGCGCTGGGCTCCCCTCTCTTCTCCGTGTCAGGCCGGTGCCCCGGGGGCTCCTCAGCGCCCCCCCCCCCCCCC